AAAAAGAGTGTGTGGGGGAAGATAGAGCTCCCACTGAATAGTTTTCATCTTGTCTACACGGATCTAGTGAAAAGAGATGGGGATAAGATTCATGATTCAATAGTGAGTAATTGTTATCATGACAAATTGAGACTGTCACAATTTGTAAAGGTAGACATTTTCTAACAAAAACAGGGAAGTAGTTAATCTTACAGTCCAGAAACAGAGGACCCTAGGACCATCAAGGGAGAAGAGCACAAGCAGTATGCGGGACCCTATGCAGAGAAGCAGCAACACTAGAGATGGAGGCAGAGATGGAGACTTGGAGTGAGGGAGCAGCTGAGGACTCAGCTAATTCATGGAATTAGAGGGACTTGAGAGCTAGTGGCCAGGAGGCAGACTTGCAGAATGTGCCCTTTGGTGCTTTAAATTATTATATATGCCTGAGTGTCTAAAAAAGAAAAAAAAATAGCTAAAATGAATAGAGAGAAATACTGTTAACTGATTACATTGAGGGGATTATAATCTTTGTAATGAAACAAAATATATGATTTGTTGAATGTAAAACTGATGATCTGCTCTATAAACTTATACTTAATTCACAATAAAAACTTAAAAAAAATTTTTTTTAATCTTTGATGTATGTTAAATTTTGATTTTCTTCATCTCTTGAGATGATCAAATTGTTTCTTGTTGTTTTTTTAATCTAATCGGTTGATAGGATGAATTACATCACTGATTTACAACTTCTGAGCCAATCTTGCAATCCTGGGGAAAACCACTTAATAATAATACATTATCCCTTTCGTAAACTTTAGACTAAATTTGCTAGTCCTGGCGTGGCATTGTGGGATAAACCACTGGACTGCAAAATCGATTTGAACCACAGGTTGGCAGTTCACACTCACCAGCTGCTCCTTAGAAACCCTATACATGGTTCGGGTACAAGCATATCCAATAAATTGTTTTGTCTCCAATTAAAATTGTGTATTTCTCCTTTCAGTTTGATTAGTTTTTGCTTTGAATATTTTGAAGCTGCTCTGGGGGGCAGACACATTTAAGGTTGTTACGTCTACTCGATGAGTCATTTAATAATTGCTATCCTTCTTTATTCCTGGAAAGAACACCGTATTTTATATGTGACTAAACAAGCCACATTAAAGCAAGGCTATAGCAGGAACCCAGCGCTGGTGACTACACTTCGATTCACTACTGCCATCCTCATCCCCAGCTGCCTCTCTCCAGGACTCCACAGCAAGCAGAGCAGAGCAGCTGCAGGGCGTTGGGGGCCTTACCGTGTTATGTCACAGAGGTTGTGAAAGACCTTGCCTGGGTTCTGGCCATCAGGGCCACTCACATGGCCCGTCTCCCTCAGCTGCTGCACCTTCTGCAGAGCCACGCTCACTGTGTAGCGCATAAACTCAGTGCTGGACCGCAGGACACACAGGCTCTCTTCGTGGCTTTGGGTACTATCCCTAGAGAGAAAATGGTTTCCCCACTGTGACTGGGATCTGCAGTTTAGCTTTTTAAAGACTTTGGAAAATCAGCAACTAGTAAACTCAGCCCATACCAATGTCACTGCCCTGGCTGTCCGCTTCTAACCATCACCCTCAGTGATGGCCAGTGCCTCATTTTCTCCTCCCCGATGCTCTACTTTGAGCTTTGTATAAATTAAATGTCAGACTTAGTCTTTCTCTAGTAGTTGCTATTCCTCGGCTTTTTAATTCAGGCTTTTCCTTTCTTGTTTATCTGGTAATTGTGTTCATGCTAACCCACCACCATCACATCAATTCTGACTTATAGTAACAAAATATAGGGACAGAGTAGAACTGCCTCATAGGGTTCCCAAGGCCATAAATCTTTATGAAAGCAGACCACCACATCTTTCTCCTGTGGGGTAGCTGGTGGGTTTGAACCACTGACCTTTTGGGGTAGCAGCTGAGCAGTTTAACCATGTGCCACCAGGCTCCTCATGTTCATGCTACTTAGGTCGATTTTCTTCTGATACCTTGTTGGAATTCTTTACTATCTCTTCCTTCATTAGTCTACTGTTTCTGATTTTCCTGTTTCACAATTTGAGGTACTTCTCTAAAATGTCTACCAAGGATTGTCCAACTTTTATTTCAGGAAAATTACAAACCTTCTGTTTAGATGTGAATCCAAACTAGGTAATAAAAGAGAATTTGAGCAGGAGTTCTTCAAGCAATGCATTAGAAACTTACCTGAAAAGAGCAGTGAGGAGAACAGACACAAACTTCATAGACAGGAGACTCTCATTTGTTTTGCTGACTGCTTTAGTTTTGCTTTTAGCTGCTTTTTCTTTTAGAATGTCAGAGAGTTTCTTGTAACACGTGAACAAGCTTAGAATCGCTTCAAACTTACTCTTGCTGTGGAAAAAGAAAAGGAGACCGCCAAGAGCAAGCATAAGACTACTGTGGCGTACTTTCATAGTAACAAGGACATTATGAATGTCACTTCTTTAGGCATCAGATTTTCAACACAATGTTGTACAAAGGGGTCTTCAATATCATAGGCCTCCTACACTATTATTAGTACTTCCCCCTCTTATTTCTACCAGTCAATACAGAATACAATCACTCAAAATCTCTCCATTAAAATCAGGAGTTTTTGAGTTCAGGGCCTGGGAAATGTTAAATAAAAGTCTGCTGCGGGGTTAACAGTCATAGGTATGTGGGACATCTGCTTTGGTGTTCTCTGGTGGAAAGAACATAGTCTTGTGTCAGACTAGATATCCACACCTATGAGAGAATGTCATGGTTCAGCATATTCATACAGTAAAAATACAAATAACCAGAAAATGAAAGATTCATCCAACCACAAACTGAGTCACAATACCTTACCTGAAATTACTTATGGAAAAATTATATTCTATCAAAATCTCACAAACTCCCATCACGAGAAGAGTACAAAAATGATTTCTGATGCCAATATCAGTAGTCTGAGAAAAATCTGATGATTTATCCTAAAAGACACAAGGCAGAAATTAATAAGATACTTAAAACGCTTCCATTATTCAGTATAGCTGAGGACCTAGCAATTACCAGTTCAAAGTCTTCTAGCTCACTCTTAATCATTCTATTAGTGATAGATTCCAGCATATCATCCAAGTCATGGTAGAACCCCTCTTCTTCCTCTTCTTCTTCCTGCTGTAGGGGCATCAGTTTACTCTTATACCAGGCCAAACAGTGATGAACACTGCAGAGCAGATGAGACTGTAGAAGAAAACATTGAAATCGTCTCATGTTAAACGACAACCTATGAAGCTGTTCATACCAGCAAATTCTTAGCTATAAAGCTACAGTTATTAATTAGCATCACAAACTAATTCAATCTCAATGAAAAATTACTTGAATCACCAGAGGTATTGTTTTCTAAACAGTTTCCCAAAGAAGTAACCTTACAGTAGCTGACACCTCAGAATACAAATCAGATATGCGCTCTGTGGTCTGATGCACAGTCCTGCAGCCAGACTGTGGAGTTAAATCCTCTCTAGTTCCTCTGACTCTCAGGGTTTGTGGGTCAATGAAATCCTGGGAGACCTGCACAGTGTCTAACATGTAGGCTGAGCACATCTCATGGCACAGAAAATACATCACAAAAGACCCCCGCTGCCTTTGCCATGAATTCTACGTTACTGAAGTGGGAAGTTTCAACTTTAACCCTCTTCTCCTTTGTATCTCTTTCTGAGGCTAAGTATGAGAAAACTACCCTATGCTTACTCCTCTGAAGATATAACTAGCTCAGTCGGAATCATAAACTCCCTGCAGATAATGAAGCACACCCCCTGGGTTCACCTTTACAAGACACCAGTCCACCCATTCTAAAGCCTATTTATTCAGCATCTCTACATGGGATAACCCTGTTCTTTGGGGGAACTGGTAGATGCCTTGATTTCTTAAAAGTGCTGATGTGGAAGAAAACATTTTACCCATAGACCCAAGGTAGTGATAGGGCCTGGAAAAGTAAGCAGGGAAGATTTAAGAGCAAAAAAAAAATCACAGAGAGTACTAGGAAGACAGCTTCCTACAGAAAAGGTATCTATCTCTTCCTGAAGTTAACACTAACCGTGTAACAGTAAAACAACAGCTATGGAAGGAAAGAGTCTCACCAGTGGTTCTTGTAGAAAGCTTTGATCTCCTTGGGTCACAACACAAGCTTCTAGTTTCAGAGGCGGCAGTAGATCAGGTTTTGGCTCATAGAACTGTTTTAACTGTGCATCATGAAGAAAAAAAGACATCATGGCTCAAGAATGGTTTCCACTTATTTAAATGCTCAAGCAACTGGTACCTTTTAATAGTTATTGCCTTCTAAGCCTAGTTTTCCAGCTGTCCAAAGAACAATGGTAGCGTAGTGGTTACGAATTGGGCTGTGAACCACAAGGTCAGCAGTTCGAAACTACCAGCTGTTCCGCGGGAGAAAGATGAGACTTTCTGTTCCTGTAAAGATTTATAGCCTCGGAAACCCTGTACAGGGTCACTATGAGTCAGAACCGACTCCACGGCACACAGCCTCCTCCTCCACCACCAAAGAACAATGCAGCAAAAATTTGAGTTACTTAGGCCCACCCACAACCTTTGCCCTTACTGTAAGAACTGCACTGACTGGGATCTACTTCCCTAGTCCACTTCCCTGCCGCGCTTAGAAAATGCCGTCCTCACACTCATCCCTAAACCTGCACAGTCAGCATTCTCTGCACAGCACAGAGATGAAGAGCAGAGGATAGAGCACAGAGATGAAGAGCAGAGGATAGACACAGAGATGAAGAACAGAGGATGGGCTATTGAGTCAGAACACCTGACTCCAGCTCTGAGCACCACTGCTTATTGATGATTTAAGTAGTTAGCCAAGCTTTAAGGAATCCTAGTGACGCAGGGTTAAGTACTCGGTTGGTAACTGAAAGATCGACAGTTGGAAGTCATCAGCTGCTCCATGGGAGAGACGTGGTGCTCTGTTCCTGTGACGATTTAGAGGCTTGCTAACCCCACGGGGACAGCCAGTTCTACTCTGTTCTATACGGTCACTGTGAGCATACACTTGACGGTAATGAGGAGCTAGGCTTTGGTTCCTCATCTGTAACAAGAAGATACTACTAATATATTACTTAGTCTAGTATAAGGCTATGTACAAGGATAAAACATGATTCTACATGTAAAAGTGCTTCACATAGTATGAAAGAGTGCACACAGCACTAACAAAAGTGTCAACAATCATTTTCTTCTTTCTCCTTTTGGAGTCTGAGTACGTTTCTTGTTGTTGTTGGTTGCCACTGAGTTGATTCCAACTTATGGAGACTTCATTGTGTGGAGTAGAACTGCTCCAAGGGGTTTTCAAGGCTGGGACCTTTTGGAAACAGAGCATAAGGCCTGTTTTATGAGATGCCTCAAAAGTGTTGGAATTGCCAACCTTTCTGTTAGTGTTCAAGAACTTAGTCATTTGTGCCACAAGTCCCCACATTAACTTGAATGGGGAAGCACTGCTCTATGTTCAACCCTAATTTTCTATTCCTGTGTAGTATGTGAATGTAGATGGGTTGATCATTATAATTGCAAAGCTATAGTATGGTGATGGTGGTGGTAGTGGTGGTGGTATGCTGTGGAGTCAGTTCCAACTCACAATGACTCTGTATCAAGTTTCCGAGGCTGTAAATCTTCACGGGAGCAGAAAGCCTCATCTTTCTCCTGAGGTGCAGTTGGTAGATTCAAACTGCTGACCTTGTGGTTAGCAGCCCATCTCATAATTCACTACACTACCAGGGTTCCTAAGATACAATACAGTTAACAGAATATAAACTTTACTCAGAGTCTGGCCCAAGACCCACTGCTGGATAGTAAGGTCTGAGACCCTAATTTCAAATGTGGCATCTTCAGTTGAATTATCACAAAACAAAGACATTTTAAAAAAAGGAGAGAAAACTTTAATTTCTATCAAAATGGTAGACTGGGTCTAGAGAAATCCTCCTGGTACAGAAAAAATATATTGAATAAAAAATTTACATAGCTAGATACAGATCTATTTATTTAAACAGCTAGTACAATGATGGAAAGGTAGAGAACTCCTCAGAGGCTTGGAGATATTGGAAAATGTCATGAAGTATGAATCTAGCAGAGAAATGAGCCTGGGAGCTAGTGTCTGCGCTGGCAGCGTCTGCTAATCAATCCCTAAAGCTGCAGCTGCTGAGAGCTCAGGAAACTGAAGTCAAACCCTACAGCCCTTGTGAGGTGGGAAGACTGTGTGAGACCCCACATACAGCTGTACCTTGCTAAAGGAAATATTCTTAGAAGATGAAGCGACTAAAGCATGTGTCAGCCAGATGGAGGAAGATGGTCGGCATATATACTTTAAGTGGTGGGAAAAAATTTTCCTGAGAATTTCTAACCCAGAGTTAGCCTCCACATGTGGTTGGGGCTAGAATTCATACTACCACTGTGGTCCCAAAACATCAAAAGCCATTTAATAAAATTTAGCTTAAAGACAGCTTCCAAACAAATAAGCGCTTGATGATTCCACATGGCACACAAATGACAAAAAAAGGAACATTCCTCAGTGTAAAAATGGCACAGTGAATACATCTGACCTCCTCTAACTTCACAAGGAGTCCAGGTTTGGTGCTGTGGGTTAATGTGTCATACAGCAAAGTTGCTTTCAACAGTAAGGTTGGCGGTTCAAGCTCACCAGTCGCTCATTGGAAACCCTATTGTTGTTGTTAGGTGCCATTGAGTCAGTATCGCCTCATAGAGACCTTATGCACAACAGAATGAAACAGTGCCCGATCCTGGGCCAACCTCACAATTGTTACCATGCTTGAGCCCACTGATGCTGCCACTTTGCCAATCCATCACCCTATACAGGGTTGTTATGTGTCAGAAACCAACTCAATGGCACTTCACAACAACAACAAAGTTCACAAGGGGAAAAGAGGACCAAGCTCAACAGTCCAAGGCTGATTCCTGTGAGGTGGATGTCACATATACTTCCTCCAACTTATTTTTAACCAAGTCTTACACCAAATGCCCCTCTCAAGGTATTCTCAATTCCTCTGCTAAATTCAATAATCCACTGAATGGCCATAGAGAACAGACAATACTCATAATCATGGCGTTTACCAGGGAAGTAGCAGAATCAGAAACAAAGCAGCATGCCGTTTTGCAATCAGGACAGCTTCTTCTCAGCCTTGTCCACAGGCAGGTTTCTCTTTGACCCTTGAACACTCAGCCTGACCTCTGTGCCCTGCTCAGGAAAGTGTTCCAAACTCTAGCAGCACTGGTAAGTGCCCAGAGGCAGCCTATTCTCCTAGCAAGCCTCAGCCCGAGGCTCTCAGCTCTCTAGCTCTGCAGGTCAGCAGGTCTAGTTTGCTAACAGATGCCAGGAGGTACCCACTCCACCAGCAAGCCTTTGCCTGAATGTGTTCAGCTCTCTCACTCTGTAAGAGTGGCAAGCCTACGTCTGCCAGAAAGTCTTTCTCATTCCACGGGTCAGGAAGCCCACAGTGCTGTCTCCTGTTGTCTCCAAATCCTGTTGCTGCCTCTCTGGGTCTCTGTTGTTACAGCTCTTTTTTCTGGGGCTAGGAGGCTCTTAGCACAGGGACAGGGGGCATCTAAAGGATGCACTCCACTCCTGGCTCTACTTTCAGCCTCTAAAATGGCTCATTTTAACCCCAGAGGGGAAGGCAAAACTGACCAATCCCTTTGTTAGGGTTCCATACACATTATTTGAATAGTCCTGGCATGGTGTTGCAGGTTAATGCACTGGACTGTAAGGTCGGCAGTTCAAGCTTACTAGGCGCTTCTCAGAAATACTATAAAAGGTTGCTTTGAGTTGGAACTGACTTGACAGCGCTTAACAACAACCACATGCCCAAAAGGGTGCCAGGAACCTTATTTGCATTATCAGCATGCTGTCTAATCTTTTCGGTGGGCCACAAGCACCTTATTGGCATGTCCCTCCTAATCATTTGGTGGACATATGACTAGCAGAGCTGTAGTAAGTAATTTACTGCAAGCACCCAATCATTTTATTAAAAGGTCATACCAAACTAGGGAAACGCAGTACATGAAAGGAAAATTATTAGCTAGTCTCTCTGACAATCACAAATGTAATAATCCTACGTGAAATACTATAAACTGAATCCAATAATGTATAAAAAACCAATATATCAAACCAGTTTGGATTTACCCTAGGAGTGTGGTTGTTGCTGTTGAATGTGATATTGGCACATAATTCACCATAATAAAAAATTAAAAGAGAGAAATCATAGGGTCATCTCAATAGATGCAAAAGATGTACCTGATAAAATTTAATACACACTCCAGAATAAAATAGATTTGAAATGGCATAAGAAAGACTAAATAAATTTAAATATAGGTGATTAGAAAATATCAAATCTGATGGAAAGAGTGAAATATTGAGCAAAAATGGACCTCTCTTCAGAGATCTGGGGGCAACATCCGGCATTTCAATATACATGGAGTTAAAGTCCCAGAGGGAGAAGACGACAAAGGAAGAAGCAGGAAAAAAAAATCATGAAATAACATTTCTCAAACTTAGTGAAATATATCAATTTACAGATACAAGTAGTAATAACAAACCCCAAATAGGAGAAATGAAAAGAGAATCACACTGAAACCCATCAGTGTCAAGCTCTTGAAAGCCAAAGAGAAAGAGAAATCTTGCGAGCAACTAGAGAAAAATACATAATACCGAGATCAATAACAACCATTGGTTCACTTCTCCCTTAGTAACAATGGGGAGCAGGAAACATGAAGGTGCTATATTCAAAGCACTAACACAAAGAAAAGTGTCAGCCACGAGTTCTATATACCCACTCCTCACTTACCCACACGGTTAGGTCCCAAAGACAGGCTTGTTATGTGAAAATTGGCATTATGCAAACATGGGGGATGATCTCATCAGATCACAAAATGGAAGATGACTGCATCATAACACGACTGTCAAACCACTGAGAATCATGGCCCAGTCAAGTTGACAAATAACCTCAACCATCAGTGTTTGCCACTTACTGCCAGATGTACATTGTTAATAGGCATGAGCCAGATAGTAGATTTTTTATTATTGTCGTAAATGGGAAATGTCAGATGACAAGCAAACTGATGTGAGGAATAGGTTTGTTCAGTTTTGAAAACATCTTTCAAAAAAGAGCAAAATAAAGACATGTCCAGATAGTTTTCATCTACATACTTTATAATTTTAAAT